TAATTGATTTCGTAGGTCTCATCGTCGTACAGCGAGATACGGTGAAGCGAAGTTCACTTTCGTAGATCTCCGAACTGCTTGATCGCTATCGAGAGCCGGATTACTTTGATGGGTGGTTGAGCAGCCCGTCGAAGTGTTCAACCCACCTTCGTATTGTCCGTTCATTTCCCTGAATAAGTTGACCCTTTGTGTTGCGCAACAGTGGCTTCCAAAAGAGTANTGGATTTTCCCGGGAGACGAGTCTTCCGACGAGCAGTTAGGTGGATCTTGAAGCGGGCGCATACAGAGCTACAGTCCGTGCCGTTCTTGTCTCCTGTTTCTGTGCCGCAACAGAAACGGCAGTCTTCTACTTAAAAGGCCCAGGGAGCACGTACCAAATGTGCCGTCGAACAGTCATTCGAGTACCAGGCAAGTAGGTGTTTTCTGGGGTGCCGGAAACGACCATCGGTCACGACCAGCCGGTTGAGGTCAGCAAATGTGACTAAACGTTCGCCGTTTGCGCAACGTTTATCAAGGCAGCTTTGCTGTCGTCCGGTTCAATACCAAGCCTAACCTATCGGGGCCTTATGTGGTTCGCCACTCCAAATCCCGGGGCTTATGTTACCAGTTTCTATCAATGAACAGCGGGACCTCGTGACTGTGGGGTTTTCCTCATCTGCTGTCCATCACCCTAAAAGTCTGTCATAAAAAAGCCGAACTTTCTCCAAACATGCTGAGTATGCTCATGTGATGGACCACTGCGTGCATTCCAGTCTCCTGTGATAAGGAGAATATCGCATTCACTGCATCTTGAACTTGATTATTGGAATCATCTTTGATGTGCGTTTCCGAATGTAACGGTGGAGCATCGACAACGATGACAATCAGGTTAAGCGACTCAATCTTGAAGCGTGCTATAACAATCCTGAGAGAGATTGGTTTCCAGGGGATCATGGGATTGTTGACCCAGTCGCTCACGGCGATTAATACTCCGTGTAAACCAGAGTTATCAGTTAGACCGCCTTGGAATAACGGGTAGTTTGCGTCTCTATGTGGTACGTTGATTAGTTTTGTGCCACACTGAGGTAGTGGGACTTCGGATAGACAGCAGATGTCTACTTTATAGTCGTGCAATGAACGCATTGTGATGCACTGACTTTCTGTGTCGGACAATGTCCTATCATTCCAGCAAGCTACATGTATGCTGGATCTGGTGTACGGATGGTTTAGGTTCCCGGGTTGCTCATTTGTCACCCCAGCCACTAGGAGAGCGCAGGGCGCGTTAGTTCCCGGGAACGCCGTAGGATGAACGCGATGTAACATTGTAAGACGATCCACGAAGAAACTTGGGAATGAGGTCCTAAGTGACTTCCTCAGTGTCACTCAGCTTTTGTTCGAGGGTGCTCCTCTAACTGGTTAGAATGGTTGGTAGCCAGTGACCGTTAACACTGTTCATACGTCTTCCGGGCGGCTTGGCGCCAGTCCAGGATCCCAAGGTGTCCGTGAAGTCTGGGCGTCGGTAGCGCTCCTCAAAGCTTGTCATACCCGGACGAGTAAGCTAGTGGTGATGGCCTTATTTGATGGGTCACATTCGCTCACGTCACGATGCCGTCAGCAGACACTTATGGCTTATAAAAAAGATATCGATTGCCAGCCAGAAACCACACTGCCTCTAGAATCGCTGCTGATCGTCCGCGACCGATTGTTCCTTGGGGTGCCCCCGCCTACCTATTCACGGTTATTCACCAGGGTAGCCATCCTATCCGCGTCCTGGAGACGCGCTCGGTAGCATTTAACTGTGCTATCCGTAGACTGTCCCTGGGGTACAGACCGTCCTTATCATATGCTCCATCGGGTGACTGTTTGATGGGGATTCTTTCCCGAATGCAATGTCTCTGTTCAACTGACTCAACTTGCTGAGACATTTATTTAACCTATGAATGTGCAACGCTTCCATAATCATGTAGATTATTTCCAGCATCATTGCGGGACTTGTTCTAGACGCTTTACTCTTGTTCATGAGCAATAGTTCAATGATTACACTGTCGCTTAGCTAATATAGGGAAATGTTTGCTTGCAAATTTGATTTTCCAAGCATTCACCCTTAGATGGAATCAAACCGAGCCCAATCAGTACTGTCCCGTTTGGCTCCCTGGATGGGTACCCGGAGATCATGGTCACCAGTGGTTGTAGATACTGTGCGATGTGTCTGGGTGTCGCAAGCAATGGTGCTCACGCATCTACTCATTATTCAATGTCAGTCTATATGAATTCTCTATCATCCGCTTGAATTTGCTCTCGACGTTCCAATCTTCGTTCTGCTCTTTTATCCAAACGGGCGACCAAAGGACAGCAACCAAAACCGGTGTACGAAAGTGCATGGTTGATAGTTGTGAAAACTCAAACTCAAACTGAACAGTCAGCACTTCGATCAGCACGGGTGGATGGTTGATATAATAACGCTTAATATACACTGCTAAGTGTTGTAACTAGCTGAGACGAGTATTGTGACGCTATTTTGACCCTTCTGAATTGTATTTTATTTCTCGTGGAACTGACACAAATATAGTGGCAATATATTTATGGTGATTGGTATCTGATTTATTGAGTAAAACTGTTTGTGAAACACCTGATCTGTTTCGTGTTTCTCTCGGTTAATCAGCTTTGCAGTCGGTACTATTTCGTCAAATAAATTGCATGTAATTGCACTAATTTATTAAAAAAATCACTGGAAAGTCCAATGAAATATTTGCGGCGATGTTGACTTTTGTGTGCGGGATCACAGATAGAGTTTAAATGAATCTGGGAATCAAAGCCGGAAAAATATAATTGGCTGTCTGTTTGGTAGATAGCCCAGTGAGGTCTGTGCAGAGATGAACTGTCAATGCCATCTCCTAGTTTCAGACACAAGCAATAGTTACAGGAGAAAACGGACAGCAGCTAAGCAGCCGTACGACGATAGGCTAGTTGCCGATATAAGGGGTTAAGGAAGCTAGGTCATCGATTGTTCGGATAGCCTTCCGTTAAACCCGTTTCAAAATAGAGGAAGCAGAATACGAGATCCCAAACCATACAGTTTAATACAGTTTTCGAGCCCGGTGAAGATGAACGCAGATAAAAAAGGATGAAAACGGAAGAAGCGTCCCTAAGCACAGCATAATAAGCAAGGTGATATGTGGAGTAGATCAGCAATACATAATTCAAAAGGACGGAATCCAGGTTTCAACGCGGAATTACTAAGAGGTGTTTA